TATATAGACTAAGCAAATGGAGAGTAAAAAAAATTAAGTAAAATTGTAATTACAGCAAATATAGTATCTTATTACCAGGAATTCGAAATTAAACTTAGAAAATAACGTTTTAATTAACAATTCAATCATTAAGCTTATCTGGGTATATGGTATTAAACTATGGAACTTGGGGTACTCATTTTACAACAAGAAAATACAGGGAGTACGAAAGAGACTACTTAGTCAAATAACCAGAGCTCCGTGGTATCATATATTTAATATATGATGTATATTTAATATTTAAAACGACTTTAGAATTCCAAAAGCACTGAAGTTAGAGTTTCATTCGGTCAAAAAAAAACAAAAACGCATTTGTATAAGCATTGGAATCTAATGAGACAACCGCTGCTTCCTGGTTCCATGGTATCCAGACTAAAATGAAATAATAATAAAATATTCACAACTATCGGTTTTTTTTTCTTTTTGTTTCTACCTGATTATTGCATTATATATTATTTTAACCTCTTCTGGTAAAAAAGATACAATTTTAAAGAAATGATGCACGAAGATACCCATATTCTTTCGAAAACGTTGCAGATGTTATTGAGAAAGTGGAATTCGTGATACTTTTGGAGTATCAGAGAATAGGATACTCATTTTTTGCAGTTTTTTGAAACCTAAAACTTAAGAGAAAGTATTGCTTGCTACAATGAAATGGCTCGAGTTTTTACTAAATCGTCTTGATTAAACACATAGGTCATCGACATTCCAACCCATTTTTGTAATCAACTTTTAAATTTCCTAGGTATAATGTACATTTATCAGAAAAACGTAGTATGCCTTGGTTTTTTCAAATAGTCGTGTTTGGTTCCAAATAAAAGTTTACAGGCTTTAAGAAATATCTTAGACATTATTCAAACATACCACAAAACTATTTTCAAAACCCTTAATACATTACAACTCATGCACGACTGTTTATTCCTATATTTGTATCAAAGTGGCTATGTGGTTTCGATTATGTTCAGTTAATTTAGTATCACATTAAAATTGACATTAATATTTTAAATTTATAAACAGTGCTTTAAAAGGATGATGAATATGTGCATAAGTCTCCCACATTTTCAGAAAATCAGTATTAGTCTATATTAGCAATCAATTAGCAATATAAACTACATCTGAACAATGCTTAATACATATTCTTAAGGTGTAGTGCTATATGCAGTAGTTCCACTATATACAAATCTAAAATAATTGTTTCATAAAAACATTAATAGTTTTTACCCTTAATTGTTTATAATTGATGTTATAATCACATCTTTAATGTTTATAAATACTTCAACTGTCTACACACCATCAGTCCTCGTTTAGTTAATCTATTTGCAAAACATTACTATGGAATTCCTCTTAGTCTTAATTTATTCGATTGCATTTATCCTCCTAGGAATTTATCTTCTGTTACGTAAGAGATATTCCTATTTCGCAGAACGTGGTATTTTGCATGATAAACCGGAACTTATCTTCGGTAATTTTCGCGAAATGAGGCGTTCTAACTCAATGTTTCTAGTTATTCGAGAATATTACAAGAAATACAAAGGAAAAGCAAAATATATTGGTTTTTATCTATTTATACGACGTGCTATATTCATACTTGATTTGGAGCTTATAAAAAATGTGCTCATCAAGGATTTTGAGTACTTTCCCAATCGTGGAACTTATTATAATGAGAAGGATGATCCGATATCAGCAAGTATAATGCATTTGGATTATGAAAAATGGCGAAATATGCGTGTTAAACTTACTCCAACCTTTACTTCGGGAAAAATGAAATTTATGTTTCCAACTGTGGTTGATGTTGCCACCCAATTAGTTGAAGTTATGAGAGATGCACATGAATCCGGTTCATTTGAAATGGGTATTGAGTTTGAAGATATAATAGCACGATATGCAGTAGATGTCATCGGAAGTGTTGCTTTCGGTTTAAGTTGTAATAGTCTCAAGAATCCTGAAGCAGAATTTAAAGTGATGGGTGAAAAAGGTTTTCCTTGCAAACACAATTGGTTTGTGCACTCGTTTATGAACTCATATCCGAATTTAGCAAGAAAATTGGGTATGAAGTTCCATTTCGATGATGTTGGAGAATTTTTTTTACGAATTGTTCGTGAAACTGTAACATATCGTGAGAAAACTGGAACACAACGAAATGATTTCTTAAACCTGCTTATAGATTTAAAAAATTCAGATACGGCAGATCCTATAACAATGGAGCAGATAACAGCACAAGCATATGTATTTTTCACTGCCGGATTTGAAACGAGTTCATGTACAATGAGTTTTTGTCTATATGAATTGGCTCTGAATCAAATGGTCCAAAATAAACTTAGAGAGGAAATTATGGAAGTACTTACACGTTATGAAGGAAAATTTACATATGAAGCAATGAATGAAATGAAATATATGGAAAAGGTTTTAAATGGTAAATGTTGAAATTAATATTATATAAAAGATTAACTAATACAGCACTGAAATATATATTTTTTTTATAGAAACTATGCGAAAATACTCCGTTGTACCAATTACATTACGCAGAGCAATTAAGGATTATGTTATCCCGAATACAAATCACGTGATTGAAAAAGGTATGGATGTAGTGATACCTATCGATGCATTGCATCATGATCCTGAATTATTTCCAAACCCAGAAGAGTTTAATCCAGAACGATTTTCTCCATCGGAAGTGGAAAAACGTAACTCAATGTCTTATATACCCTTTGGCGATGGACCTCATATTTGTATTGGTATTAGGTTTAGTAGATTGGTTATTATGATTGGTTTAGTAATGATATTGCGGAATTATCGTATTTTGCCAACGAAGAAAACTGAAAATCCTCTTCAATACAATCCAAAGAAATATTTTATGGGTAGTAAAAATGGAATTTACTTGAAAACTGAAAAGATTTGTCGAAATTAAAGAGTGAATGAGTGAAATATTTTCTTACAAAATTCATTCGAATGTAATATTAAGGAGGAGTTAATTTAAAAAACGAAACAATTCTATTTCAAAAAGTTTTTACAAAGATATAACAAATAATTATATGTATGCATTGTGTTGACAAATATTGCCTTACCTTTCATGCTATATATCACATGTGTTCATGTTAATTTACAATATAAATCGTTATAAATGTTTATTTATTCAAGTATTTGGTTTTCTTTAATGATCCATATTCTGTTACATATTATATTAAAGGATAGTCGTAGTTATATTGTTTATATGCGTATAAGCATATGATGACAATGTCTATGTCAGTCGCAGTTATTTATATACCATATATGATATGGTTTTATTATATAAAACTTAAATAAAAATAAGTAAATATAACAGTTGACAATAGTAATATATAATACTTATGAATTCAAAATTACCAATTTGAATATAATCCTTTACACTCTTCATATGTAGAAATAAAAAAAAAAGAAATGTGATGTTTTAAAATAGATACAGGTGGAACACTATGACATATATATATCAATGGAAAGAATATCGATCAATTGTCAGAATTGCACTCTTTTGAAGTAAGAGACAAGAGCAACTTTCGCTAGACGGTCCCATTGAAATAAATTAGTCATCCTGGTGTCATCCACCTAACAAAGGAAAAAAGCTGGTGAAGCCTGCTTAGTAAACGTCGCAGTGCTCTAGTGAAAAAAAGTCTGGCAAACAATCAGTGTTATCAAGAATGAAAGAAAAGTATAAATAAAACCAAAACCATCTATTTCAATCTGGTCTAAAAGTCTTTGTGGTACTAGTAATTAACTTAACTTAGTGACCTCGATTTGCAACTTTCTGAATAAATAATGATGTCATCGATAATATCGGCTACGATAAAATCAAGTTTTAGTTACTTTTGTGAATTTTCCCAATTTATTGAGTTGCTGTTTAAACCTTAATGCTAAACGAATGGCATTATACTTATTATTAAATAAGATGCCTAGTCTCTGGAATCATAAATGTGTGACTCGTTGTTAATTTTCCAGTTGTTCCGCACCTGTTTCGTTTGTGCTATATATTATCCTCGTTAATATACTCTACTGGTTCTGATTTTTTTTTTTTGATTGAGAACTGGAGCGTGCACGCTGTACTCGCAGACTGCAGTCGTGACACATGCGTCTAGGTTCGTTACAAATAAAAAGTATGTGACAACTTTTTGTTGTTTCCATTTTTCGTACTTAGCTAGCTATAATATTTCATGGTTGATTCCACGAATGCCATCATCACACCTTGCTTGGCAAGTTTCTTCAACCGTCTATTAAATAGATCCGCTGTTATAGATTTGGAGAACTAGATTTTGTAATTGAAAAACTTGATTGCTTACAACTAAAACCCTTGAGCACTTATACTCTTTCTTAATTCGAGGTATTTTCAAAACTCCTCTTTACGTCTTTACTGGATTATTGTTTATCACTTAATCAAACTAACCAATAATTGACCTCAGATCTGCATACCTCCCAGAGGAACCTGTAACCATTCTGAGATTTGATAACGCGGTGTTGGTAAGTCTGTCAGTTTTCATAAATAATTTCAGGACTCTATCCTTTCTGTATTTTTTGATGAGGTCCCTGAAAATGTCATTCGTCCTAACGTACCATGGTACTTTGAAAAGTCTTCTCAGAAACTGGTTTTGTGAAATTTCTAGCTGGCCAATAGTAGTGTTCATAATAGTATTAAGACGCTCAAGCAGTTTGATTTATAGATACATATGTATAAAAAATAAGAATTTAGACTTGATGAATTAGAGCACTTAATACTTAAGATAAAGTACTGGCTATAATTACAGTTGTACTACCCATATAAAACACAAGTTCAATTAAATTGTATTAAAAAACTTTTATACTTACTTTTTAAAGCTAATTGCTTTCAATTAAAACTTATATTTGCTGGCACGAATTTATTTTATAATTACTGCTTTAGGTATATAAAATATTCCAACTACGTATGCCACATCAGTCTTCCTATGGATATTCTATTAGCACAATATTATTATGGATTCTCTTTTAGTCTCAATTTATTCAATTGCCTTAATCCTCTTAGGAGCTTATCTAATACTACGTCGGAGATATTCCTATTGGGCAGACCGTGGTGTTTTGCACGATAAACCGAAACTTATTTTTGGCAATATTCGCGAGTTCGGACGTACCAAGGCCCTTTTTATTATTATTCGGGAATATTATATGAAATACAAAGGAAAAGCAAAATATGTTGGTTTTTATCTATTTATACGACGTACAATACTTATACTTGATTTGGAACTTATAAAAAATGTGCTTATCAAGGATTATGAGTACTTTCCCAATCGTGGAACTTATTATAATGAGAAGGATGATCCGATATCAGCAAGTATAATGCATTTGGATTATGAAAAATGGCGAAATATGCGTGTTAAACTTACTCCGACATTTACTTCGGGAAAAATGAAATTTATGTTTCCAACTGTGGTTGATGTTGCCACCCAATTAGTTGAAGTTATGAGAGATGCACATGAATCCGGTTCATTTGAAATGGGTATTGAGTTTGAAGATATAATAGCACGATATGCAGTAGATGTCATCGGAAGTGTTGCTTTCGGTTTAAGTTGTAATAGTCTCAAGAATCCTGAAGCAGAATTTAAAGTGATGGGTGAAAAAGGTTTTCCTTGCAAACATAATTGGTTAGTGCACTCATTTATGAACTCATATCCGAATTTAGCAAGAAAATTAGGTGTGAAATATCATTTCGATGATGTTGGAGAATTTTTTTTACGAATTGTTCGTGAAACTGTAACATATCGTGAGAAGACTGGAACACAACGAAAGGACTTCTTAAACCTGCTTATAGATTTAAAAAATTCAGATACGGCAGATCCTATAACTATGGAACAGATAACAGCACAAGCATATGTATTTTTCACTGCCGGATTTGAAACGAGTTCATGTACAATGAGTTTTTGTCTATATGAATTGGCTCTGAATCAAATGGTGCAGAATAAACTTAGAGAGGAAGTTATGGAAGTACTTACACGTTATGAAGGAAAATTTACATATGAAGCAATGAATGAAATGAAATATATGGAAAAGGTTTTAAATGGTAAATATTAAAATTAGATATATTTAAACTAAAAAAGGATACTATATTGAAATAACTTTTTTAAATAGAAACTATGCGAAAGTACTCTATTGTACCATTTACATTACGCAGAGCAATTAAGGATTATGTTATACCGAATACAAATCATGTGATTGAAAAAGGTATGGATGTAGTGATACCTATCGATGCATTGCATTATGATCCAGAATATTTTCCAAATCCAGAAGAGTTTAATCCAGAACGATTTTCTGCATCGGAAGTGGAAAAACGTGACTCAATGTCTTATATACCCTTTGGCGATGGACCTCGTATTTGTATTGGTATTAGGTTTAGTAGATTGGTTATTATGATTGGTTTAGTAATGATATTGCGGAATTATCGTATTTTGCCAACGAAGAAAACTGAAAATCCTCTTCAATACAATCCAAAGAAATATTTTATGGGTAGTAAAAATGGAATTTACTTGAAAACTGAAAAGATTTGTCGAAATTAAAGAGTGAATGAGTGAAATATTTTCTTACAAAATTCATTCGAATGTAATATTAAGGAGGAGTTAATTTAAAAAACGAAACAATTCTATTTCAAAAAGTTTTTACAAAGATATAACAAATAATTATATGTATGCATTGTGTTGACAAATATTGCCTTACCTTTCATGCTATATATCACATGTGTTCATGTTAATTTACAATATAAATCGTTATAAATGTTTATTTATTCAAGTATTTGGTTTTCTTTAATGATCCATATTCTGTTACATATTATATTAAAGGATAGTCGTAGTTATATTGTTTATATGCGTATAAGCATATGATGACAATGTCTATGTCAGTCGCAGTTATTTATATACCATATATGATATGGTTTTATTATATAAAACTTAAATAAAAATAAGTAAATATAACAGTTGACAATAGTAATATATAATACTTATGAATTCAAAATTACCAATTTGAATATAATCCTTTACACTCTTCATATGTAGAAATAAAAAAAAAAGAAATGTGATGTTTTAAAATAGATACAGGTGGAACACTATGACATATATATATCAATGGAAAGAATATCGATCAATTGTCAGAATTGCACTCTTTTGAAGTAAGAGACAAGAGCAACTTTCGCTAGACGGTCCCATTGAAATAAATTAGTCATCCTGGTGTCATCCACCTAACAAAGGAAAAAAGCTGGTGAAGCCTGCTTAGTAAACGTCGCAGTGCTCTAGTGAAAAAAAGTCTGGCAAACAATCAGTGTTATCAAGAATGAAAGAAAAGTATAAATAAAACCAAAACCATCTATTTCAATCTGGTCTAAAAGTCTTTGTGGTACTAGTAATTAACTTAACTTAGTGACCTCGATTTGCAACTTTCTGAATAAATAATGATGTCATCGATAATATCGGCTACGATAAAATCAAGTTTTAGTTACTTTTGTGAATTTTCCCAATTTATTGAGTTGCTGTTTAAACCTTAATGCTAAACGAATGGCATTATACTTATTATTAAATAAGATGCCTAGTCTCTGGAATCATAAATGTGTGACTCGTTGTTAATTTTCCAGTTGTTCCGCACCTGTTTCGTTTGTGCTATATATTATCCTCGTTAATATACTCTACTGGTTCTGATTTTTTTTTTTTGATTGAGAACTGGAGCGTGCACGCTGTACTCGCAGACTGCAGTCGTGACACATGCGTCTAGGTTCGTTACAAATAAAAAGTATGTGACAACTTTTTGTTGTTTCCATTTTTCGTACTTAGCTAGCTATAATATTTCATGGTTGATTCCACGAATGCCATCATCACACCTTGCTTGGCAAGTTTCTTCAACCGTCTATTAAATAGATCCGCTGTTATAGATTTGGAGAACTAGATTTTGTAATTGAAAAACTTGATTGCTTACAACTAAAACCCTTGAGCACTTATACTCTTTCTTAATTCGAGGTATTTTCAAAACTCCTCTTTACGTCTTTACTGGATTATTGTTTATCACTTAATCAAACTAACCAATAATTGACCTCAGATCTGCATACCTCCCAGAGGAACCTGTAACCATTCTGAGATTTGATAACGCGGTGTTGGTAAGTCTGTCAGTTTTCATAAATAATTTCAGGACTCTATCCTTTCTGTATTTTTTGATGAGGTCCCTGAAAATGTCATTCGTCCTAACGTACCATGGTACTTTGAAAAGTCTTCTCAGAAACTGGTTTTGTGAAATTTCTAGCTGGCCAATAGTAGTGTTCATAATAGTATTAAGACGCTCAAGCAGTTTGATTTATAGATACATATGTATAAAAAATAAGAATTTAGACTTGATGAATTAGAGCACTTAATACTTAAGATAAAGTACTGGCTATAATTACAGTTGTACTACCCATATAAAACACAAGTTCAATTAAATTGTATTAAAAAACTTTTATACTTACTTTTTAAAGCTAATTGCTTTCAATTAAAACTTATATTTGCTGGCACGAATTTATTTTATAATTACTGCTTTAGGTATATAAAATATTCCAACTACGTATGCCACATCAGTCTTCCTATGGATATTCTATTAGCACAATATTATTATGGATTCTCTTTTAGTCTCAATTTATTCAATTGCCTTAATCCTCTTAGGAGCTTATCTAATACTACGTCGGAGATATTCCTATTGGGCAGACCGTGGTGTTTTGCACGATAAACCGAAACTTATTTTTGGCAATATTCGCGAGTTCGGACGTACCAAGGCCCTTTTTATTATTATTCGGGAATATTATATGAAATACAAAGGAAAAGCAAAATATGTTGGTTTTTATCTATTTATACGACGTACAATACTTATACTTGATTTGGAACTTATAAAAAATGTGCTTATCAAGGATTATGAGTACTTTCCCAATCGTGGAACTTATTATAATGAGAAGGATGATCCGATATCAGCAAGTATAATGCATTTGGATTATGAAAAATGGCGAAATATGCGTGTTAAACTTACTCCGACATTTACTTCGGGAAAAATGAAATTTATGTTTCCAACTGTGGTTGATGTTGCCACCCAATTAGTTGAAGTTATGAGAGATGCACATGAATCCGGTTCATTTGAAATGGGTATTGAGTTTGAAGATATAATAGCACGATATGCAGTAGATGTCATCGGAAGTGTTGCTTTCGGTTTAAGTTGTAATAGTCTCAAGAATCCTGAAGCAGAATTTAAAGTGATGGGTGAAAAAGGTTTTCCTTGCAAACATAATTGGTTAGTGCACTCATTTATGAACTCATATCCGAATTTAGCAAGAAAATTAGGTGTGAAATATCATTTCGATGATGTTGGAGAATTTTTTTTACGAATTGTTCGTGAAACTGTAACATATCGTGAGAAGACTGGAACACAACGAAAGGACTTCTTAAACCTGCTTATAGATTTAAAAAATTCAGATACGGCAGATCCTATAACTATGGAACAGATAACAGCACAAGCATATGTATTTTTCACTGCCGGATTTGAAACGAGTTCATGTACAATGAGTTTTTGTCTATATGAATTGGCTCTGAATCAAATGGTGCAGAATAAACTTAGAGAGGAAGTTATGGAAGTACTTACACGTTATGAAGGAAAATTTACATATGAAGCAATGAATGAAATGAAATATATGGAAAAGGTTTTAAATGGTAAATATTAAAATTAGATATATTTAAACTAAAAAAGGATACTATATTGAAATAACTTTTTTAAATAGAAACTATGCGAAAGTACTCTATTGTACCATTTACATTACGCAGAGCAATTAAGGATTATGTTATACCGAATACAAATCATGTGATTGAAAAAGGTATGGATGTAGTGATACCTATCGATGCATTGCATTATGATCCAGAATATTTTCCAAATCCAGAAGAGTTTAATCCAGAACGATTTTCTGCATCGGAAGTGGAAAAACGTGACTCAATGTCTTATATACCCTTTGGCGATGGACCTCGTATTTGTATTGGTATTAGGTTTAGTAGATTGGTTATTATGATTGGTTTAGTAATGATATTGCGGAATTATCGTATTTTGCCAACGAAGAAAACTGAAATTCCTCTTCAATTTAGCCTTCGTAAATTTTTCATGGGTAGTAGAAATGGAATTTATTTGAGAACCGAGAAAATTTCTTAAATTTAAAGGGTGAATGCAAGACTGTATTCTGTTAAGTTTATGTTAATGTTGTATTATAATAAAAATTTTATAAAAGTATCCTCTTCAATAAACCTTTGCAGGATGCATGTACTGTCCTAATAAAAATTTTGTTTGTAAATTTGTGTATTTTTTTTTATACTTACAAATAAATCGTTTATTTATATAATTTCATTTCCTTAAATTTTTATTTGTGTTTATTTTTTTAAGGATTCGGTTGTTAGTAAATACTTCAGTGACTTGTTATTTCTGTTGTAGTGAACGTCTTAACATATTAGTTCCAGGCCAGATTTTGAACTTTTTTGGTTTTGTTTCTGATTATATCATAAGCTTTTGTTCCCTCCTTAACTTTCATGTTAACAGTCGCTGGTTTTGTGACAGGAACTGAAATTGAAAGGACACTCATTTCCGTCAGTGGCAATGCATTTATTCCATTCATTCTTTAATTTTCGTATACCATTTCTGAAATTCACTTTTAGCGTAGTATAGCAACTATAACTTCTTTGTTTGATGAAATCGTCTTTTCTTTCACAGTTTTTTAAGACGAGCCAAAAGATCTGTGAAAAGAGTGGTTGTTGTAACAAATTGAGTTCCTGAACTGTGTGAGCAGGTCTTAATTGAAAAAAATTTTTTTCTTTCCTAGACTATATCGATTTCTACAAATTTTGACTTTACATTTGTTCAGAACCTTGCAATGATAATGTACCATAATTTAGGTTCATGGTGGTACATTACAATCTCAATTTCGATGATGAATTAATGCATCACGTTTTTTTTAAACACTGTATAAAGTCGCTGTTACAAATGTGACTTATTTGATGATGTTTTGCAAGAGAGTATGGCAAACTATGGACTACTGAAATGTGTGGAAATTAGAACTAAAATCCATCAATATTTTAGATATATTATATTCATATCGGTGAGCGTATAGAAAGACGGTTATAGTTTGTATTCTGTGAAAATAGATAGTGTGTTGTGCAAATCACAAAACTTTAAAATATTATAAGAAACTATCTGATTATGTTAAAAAATCCAAATTTTTGACTAAATTATACAAAACTTTACAGATCTTCGTAAGTAGCCTTAACGTTATTAATATTTGTTTTGAAAATATATAACAATATCTGCATTATTGGATAAATTGACGTATATGTTTGATGAACTGAGATAAGCTGAAACTCATTGAGGATTGCTTTTCTTACTTTACTACATTTAAACAAGGATCCAATGAATAGATTAGATTAGTACACCAAGGATGTTATATCGTCTAACCGAAGGAACTGCAGAACATTAATTGGTGTGTTGACAGGTCACTGTCTGGTCGGATCACATGCCCAAAAACTAAACCTAATTCACAGCGATGCTTGTAGGAAATGCAACGAGCCGGATGCAAAGGAAACTCTGGAGTATCTACTGTGTAATTGCCTGGCTCTCTCAAGAACTCAACAAAAATACTTGGGGGCAATCAGTTTTACAGGACTGAAGCACATATCTGAGGTTTCTGTTAGAAGCCTGAAAAAATTTGCTGACGAAATGCGCATTCTAAGTGATGCACACAATCGCTAAAATAAGACTCTGATCTGGTATCGCAATGGACTTTAATGATATATGCGTGGCCTTTTTGGCCTGCCAGCATAATCTAATCAATAAACTTTGTTTTCTAAGTCACTATTAATTATATTACGTATACTCATATTACGTACTCTTAATAAAAGTAAAAATATTGTGATATAATCTCTATATAATTTAAACACAAAGAATATTTATGTATATATAAGCAGTGTCGAATCGCAAAATGCATTCTATAACTATGTTATACTTCATAAAGTGCATTGTTTTTTTTTTAAATTAATAAGTTTTTAAACACCTCTTCCACGATTGCAAACTGAGTCGGTGTACATATGTTCCTCTGGGTAATTATTCTTGGTTGTTAGAAGTAGCTATACCAACCCACTTTAATGATATGTGAAAACACTCAAGCAAGTTTATAATAAAGGCATGCCATATAAAAATTAGTGACAAATTAGTGACTGTTATTATCGTCGCAGTACAAATATAAAACATAGATTTAATTAAATTTTTTTAAAAAAACTGTAATTGATTCTATATGTAATTGGTTTTAATTAAAAAATAACATTTGTTGGCGTTAATTTATTTTCATAGTACCTATTTTGTTGTATATAACATATTCCGACTACCCATGCCACATCAGTCTTTATATGGATATTCTATTAGCACAATATTATTATGGATTTTCTTTTAGTCTCAATTTATTCGATTGTTTGTTTCCTTCTAGGAATTTATCTTATACTACGTAAAAGATATTCCTATTGGGCAGAACGTGGTGTTTTGCACGATAAACCGGAACTTGTCTTTGGCAATTTTCGAGAGTTGAGGCGTTCCAAACCACTTTATCTTATATATCGCGATTTTTATATGAAATACAAGGGAAAAGCAAAATATGTTGGTTTTTATCTATTTATACGACGTGCTATATTCATACTTGATTTGGAGCTTATAAAAAATGTGCTCATCAAGGATTTTGAGTACTTTTCCAATCGTGGTACTTACTATAATGAGAAGGATGATCCGATATCAGCAAGTATATTGCATTTGGATTATGAAAAATGGCGAAATATGCGTGTTAAACTTACTCCAACCTTTACTTCGGGAAAAATGAAATTTATGTTTCCAACTGTGGTTGATGTTGCCACCCGATTAGTTGAAGTTATGAGAGATGCACATGAATCCGGTTCATTTGAAATGGGTATTGAGTTTGAAGATTTAATAGCACGATATGCAGTAGATGTCATTGGAAGTGTTGCTTTCGGTTTATATTGTAATAGTCTCAAGAATCCTGAAGCAGAATTTAAGGTGATGGGTATAAAAGGTTTCCGTTGCCGACACAATTGGCTTGTACACTCGTTTTTAGTTTCTTATCCGGATTTGGCAAGAAAATTAGGTATGAAATTTCATTTCGATGATGTTGGAGAATTTTTTTTACGAATTGTTCGTGAAACTGTAACATATCGTGAGAAAACTGGAACACAACGAAAGGATTTCTTAAACCTGCTTATAGATTTAAAAAATTCAGATACGGTAGATCCTATAACAATGGAGCAGATAACAGCACAAGCATATGTATTTTTCACTGCCGGATTTGAAACAAGTTCATGTGTAATGAGTTTTTGTCTATATGAATTAGCTTTGAATCAAATGGTACAGAATAAACTTAGAGAGGAAATTATAGAAGTACTTACACGTTATGAAGGAAAATTCACATATGAAGCAATGAATGAAATGAAATATATGGAAAAGGTTTTAAATGGTAAATATTAAAATTAGATAAATTTAAGCAAAAAAAGGATACTATATTGAAATAATTTTTTTATATAGAAACTTTGCGAAAATACTCAATTGTACCATTTACATTACGCAGCGCAATTAAGGATTATGTTATACCGAATACAAATCATGTGATTGAAAAAGGTATGGAAGTACTGATACCTATTGATGCATTGCATCATGATCCTGAATTATTTCCAAATCCAGAAGAGTTTAATCCAGAACGATTTTCTGCATCGGAAGTGGAAAAACGTAACTCAATGTCTTATATACCCTTTGGTGATGGACCTCGTTTTTGTATTGGTAATAGA